CTTGCCCACTACAACAAGAAATCAACCATCAGCTCCCGCGAGATCCAGACCGCCATCAGGCTGCTTCTACCTGGTGAACTGGCCAAACACGCCGTGAGTGAAGGAACCAAGGCTGTGACCAAGTACACCAGCAGCAAGTAAACTCACTTTGTGGGTTTCCCGCCAAAACAAACGGCTCCTTTAGGAGCCACCAAATGATACAAAAGTCAATGACAACTGGCCGTATTCCATTTCAAGCCCTCCTCAAAGCGCAATCAATGCAAACGTGGAAGTGCACAAATAAGAAGCCCGTCTCTGAAATAGTTCTTCAGTACATTTCTCCCACCAGGCTGCTCGCGGCATCGCCGCTTTCGACGGTAGCTCGCGCGCTCCACCCCAACTAAACCGCCAGCTACGCAGACTACAGTCCAAATATCTATACTCTGTGTGTACCCGTTAAGCTTATATGCTTTCCCGAACCTCTGCCTATTTCTCAATATAACGAACGATGCCGTGCTAAAGTTGGGAAAGTTTTTAGAATTACAGCGAAGAGAACCACGATACACTCTTTTTTATATAAGAATATCGAGGCTGAAAATTGCTCCTTTCTCTAAACGGCAAACTTAGCCAAAAAGAAACAAAAACAGCACTGGCTGCATGTTAGATGCTAGTAATATTAATTTAACACCATCCCATACAGTAGTAGCCGAGCTCTCATCGTTGGTGGCGCGAGGAAAGCGACTTTGCTCCTACCGCAATGCTATCCATTCAAGGTGGCGTTGCGGTTACATACTTTGCTCCTACCGCAAGGCTACCCATACAGTGGGAACCCTTTTTCAGGGATTCCACATATTTATTTTTTAAGGGTTCTTGTGGTGAAAGGTACAAGTTGCCGGAAAATTTACTAGATTTAGCAGTTTTCTGTTACATTAAGTTTTGTCTTTATGGTCAAAGGTTTCTTTTGCCTGAGAGCAGGCTCACATTTACCTTTGAGTCAAACGCGCATATTTATTTTCACATATTTTTGAAGGGTTCTTGTGGTAAAAGGCACAAGTAGCCGGAAAATTTTCCAGGTTAAGCAGTTTTCTGTTACATTAAGTTTTGTCTTAAGGTCAAAGGTTTCTTTTGCCTGAGAGCAGGCTCACATGTACCTTTGAGTCAAACGCGCGAGCGTGAGCGGGGAGGACCGCGTCGCCGAGCAAGGGAGGAGTCTGGTGAAGAGCGAGTGTGCCCCTACCCTAGGTACCAGAGGTTTTGTTTTTGTCGTGCGCGGCTTCGCAAAGCGAAGCCCGGGTCCCAGTAGAGACTAGGGGTACTTACCATTTAAATGGGAAAACCGGAAATTCCAGTTGAAAAATCAAATGGTTCGCGCCATTCCGTTTGGGNTATAGCGATTCCCTCTCCCGCAACGTGGCATTCAATTGTTTAATGTTTATGCCTGAAATTTCCAACCGGATGGTTTTTGTAAATGGTAAGCACCCCAGACGTGACCGACACCGGAAACCGCCCAAGAAAAACCTCTGGCACCCAGGCTAGTGTGATCCGTAAACGCGAGCCTACTCGCAGGCTAAAGAAACTCTTGACCATGTTGACCACATAGATGTGTACCGGAAATATGTGGGAAAGATATACCCTGTACAGTTTTCCCGTACCTTAGTTATATTCAGTGTAACAAACGACGGCGAAAACGAAAGACTAAAGTTTTAACCTGCCACCAACGAATCGACAAGGAAAACGGCGCGCCCTAGCCTAATTAATGAGGACCTACAAGTAATGGTTTAATTTTCCCGGCACTGCCATATGGATCACTGACTTAAAGGATCTTAGTCACTGTATTTTGAGTTATTTCAGTGGCCACGTCCAAAATTGCCTTTAAATTGAAGGAAACATGAAAATAGTAGTTACTAAGACAGAAATACACCTGAAGAGATAACAATAAACCACAAAGGAACAAGGATGGTTAACAAGGATGGAGAAGATTAACACAGCGGATTATAAACAGCGGACTTGAAAACTTTAGGCTAAACTGACTTTTCAAGATGCCCAAACCGTCAAATTTCTCCTTTAAGTAGTAGAACAAAAGGCTTGATCATTCGAATTAAGATTAAAAATTCGAGGCCTCAGTATATAGCCTCTTGATTCTGTGGCCTACCTTGGATATCAGATTCAACGCCAAGGGCAAATTTGGGAGGCATTAGTCAGTCTTTGAATACATAGCACTCTGGTTGTAGAAACTTAAACTACATATGGCGGCAGTGTTTCTGGTACGAATCTCATTTGCGCGAAGTAACAAAGTACACAAAGACATGATCTTATCAAGTCTACAGTGTTTTCACTTCGTCTTCAATGGCAGTCAGATAGACTCAGTTTCAAGTGAATTAATTTCACTGCCATTGCTGTTGGAAATAATTTCATTTGCTTGAATCTCTATCGATCGTGTTGTGAGCCGTGAGCCTGCCTGTAAGTTATGTAAGAAACGGTGTACTTCTTACAAAATAGATATCATATTACACCATTTCTTCCTCATAACAGCCTTCTTTCTACAACGGCCACAGTAGACTGAAAATATTTGTATTTGTTTTCTTTAAGGATTAGAAGGAAAAAACACAAAATTAAATCAGACAATGTTGGCTGTTTGCCGTAAATGTCATGCTTAAGGTGGCCGAACACAGTTTTCGCGGGCTTTTGCTGATGCAATTCAGTGCGTGCACAAGGATTTTACTTACTCAACACCCGCACTATCTGTGCTATTTTTCTCTATAATTGAACGCAGTGTATTGATGGCTTTAGTCTTTTATCAGAAAGATATGTTAGAAAAGATAACGATGCAAAGAACCCAACAATTCTCAGCTTTTTCTTTGTTACCGAAAGAACCCAGTTAAATGCAGCGCATGCGTAGTAAGTCAAAAAAAATGCGATTGAATGAAAAATTGCACCCTCGGAAATACGGCTATTTCTCGAGAACCACTCATTAGAAATTTCACGAAATTTGGCACAAAAATCATCATTTATCCGTTCTCCAAGTGGAGAATTGGGCCGTAAGCTCTCTGCCTCCAGGCTGTTCTGTC